AGCATTTGCAGTGCGTGTGTTGTCAAATTGATGAAGATGTTTTCTTAATTTGCAGGTGTTTTCCAGATCAAAGGACACTTTTGTACAATGATTTGTACGGTGGCTTAGAGAGCTCAACACGCTGCAAGTTCAGAAAAAACATGCAAATAGAAAAAACACCAGCAAATTAAGAAAACATCTTCATCAGTTTGACAGCTCTGTTTGCATGTGTTTTTTTCATTTGCAGCGCCTTGAGCTCTCTCAGCCACCGTAGATTTGTCATATGATCATATAGATCATATGATTTACATCTTCATTAAGAGCAGAGTCACGTGATCCTTCAGAAATCATTCTAATATGCTTGTATGATTTACATCATTTAATGTATGATTTACATCTTCATTAAGAGCAGAGTCACGTGATCCTTCAGAAATCATTCTAATATGCTGATTTGTGGCTCAAGAAACATTTCTTATCATTATCAATGTTGAAAACAGTTGCGCTACTTGATATTTTTGTGGAAACCATATTACATTTTTCAGAATTCTTTGACGAATACGAGCATTTATTTGAAACAGCAACTTTTTGAAACATTATAAATGTGTTTTTAATGTGTCCTTGCTAAATAAAAGTATTAATTTCTCTCTCTAAAAAAAAAAATAACGTATAAAAACCTCAGCTTATGTCATCACCTCAAGGTACCACAAGTAACCCCCAAGAAATGAAGTGAGTAGCCGTGTCCACTGAGGTGTGTGTCTCTGCACTGGTATTTTGAGTCACTCAGCACCTTTGGCCCCTCTTTTGTTTACCACTGAGCCCTGGAGTTTGTTTACTTCCTGATAGATGAATGGAAGCACAGCCAATCAAACCAGGTCAGAGAGAGAGAAATGAGAAGAGGTACTCTGAGGACCATGAGAAAATAGATCGGGCCTGAGAAACTGCCAGCACAGTTTGTTTAGCCTTTATAAAGTTTCTGGGCATTGTCTGAGTGCCGCTACGGGTGGGATGGATGGAGGGTAGACGAGGTAAAGAGTTTCCACTTAAAAGTAACTATTCAGATGGTTATCTATTATCTTGATTATAATTTGTACTAAAACATTTACTTGACATTTTAAAATATGAATTACTGATTCAGTCTGACTATAAATGAACGTTTAAATGCATTGGTAGTCGCTGCATCACATAAATTTGAACTCTGCTTAACCTTCTCGAATCCCCAACGGTGTCTGCCGGTCATGTCACCTCAAATCGCCATCTCTTATTGAAAATAAATTACTTCCAGTTGTTTTGTCACTCCAAATCGCTGTCAGTGTGAGCACACCCTAAGAAGTCAGCTGGCCTGTTGGGTAGCATTTGGAAATGCAAAAGATTGTAGGGTGTTTTCAGACAGTGGCTGGATAAAGTATATGCTTCTGTATATTTCTGAATGTGTATGTGTATGTGCTTGTGCGTTTACATGTGAGTGTATTAAAGGCAAACTACAGCCCCAATCGATCGGTGAAGGATAAGAAGAGACATGCTTCAATCCCTTGCCTCTCTTTTTTTTTTATCAACTCATCTCTCTCCTCTCCACTCCTCCTTTTTCAGCTCACCACGCTGATCTTCATTTTCTCCTCTTGCTCTGCTCATCCTTTTTGTCCTTTCTTTTTTGCTGAGAATTTGAGTTTTCTGGAAGAGACAGCTGGTGGACTATGCCCCACTGATTCCTTACCCACAATCCAATCTGCCCACAGACCACTGAACTCTCTCTGAACTTTATTATAGGGTCAATTTAGTTACACTATCATTAAAATATTAAATCACATTCACATTGCGTTGTTGATATTCTGCTATTTTATTTATGATGGGATGTGAAAGACATATTTCCTCTGTTTTGGTGATGAGCTGTAGGACAGGAGGCTGTTCCTTCAGAGTGTTGGGATGTTTGCCATCACTGCACCTTGACCAGCATAAAATAGGGTATACGTTCACACTTTCCTTTTTTTGGACTGACAACCGCATTTACTTAGAGGTGTGAGTCTCGAAACGTCCTGGAAATTTGCGGGTGTGAGTTTGGTTATAGAATGCGGTTGTCACTCATAAATAACCGTACGGTGTGTGTGAACGTAACTGTATTATGTACTCAAATACAGGACTGACAACCGTATTCTGCTGCTGCGTGAATGTGGCAATAATGAAGTACATTTTGGTTGTAGACAAATTTAAGTTCCAGTCTCGGTACTGGCAGGGATTGTAGGTAGGGGAATGACCAGCGCTCTCTTCCACCCTCAATACAACGACTGAGGTGAGACCCTTGAGCAAGTCACTGACTGAACCCCCAACTGCTCCCCAGGTGCTGCAGCAAAAAATGGCTGCCCACTGCTCCGGGTGTGTGTGTTCACTACTCATTGATCTGTGTGTGCACTTAGATGGGTTAAATGCAGAGCACAAATTCCGAGTATGGGACATCATACTTGGCCACACGTCACTTCACTTCACTTTAGCTATAATTATGGCTAATGGTTTCCATTTGAAATATGTCAAATTTGTTGACTTGACTGCACGTACACTATTGGAAGAGAATTGAACTGAGCTGGACGATGACATCACTGAATCAACAATGAACTTTGATAAACTGACAGTTTTCTGTTTTAATGTCCTCTTGCATTATCAGCACACATTTTTCCTGTTTAACACTGTAAAGCTGCTTTGACACAATCTGTATTATATAAAGCACTATATAAATAAAGGTGACTTGACTTGACTCAAAACAAGAAAGATCAAGTGATTTCATGGGGTATTACAAGGGGGAAAAAAGTTGGACATGATGACTGGGAGTAACTTATTAGTAAGTTGCAAATTTCTTTGAGAAAGTCATTCATTCCTGTATAATTAATTTCTCATTGTTGGATATGATGCAAAAGTAAGGCTTTAAATGAAGGAGGGATTTAAATGAAGGCGTATTTCCTTGAATTAAGGTCATGCTAATTAACCAGGGACTTATAGAGACCAGCAAAATATAGCTAGACAGGGCTAATGCAGTGACTGGTGATGTTTTTTCATGGCCACATATGATCCGCTGATATGATCCGCTGATATGATCCGCTGATACACTGTAAATTCCAATTAGTAAACCTTACTTAAAAAAAGCATGCAAACCGATTGCCTTGAAAAAACCAAGTAAAGTGAAATAAGAATAATAATTTGTAATAACAAAGGTTTATTTAGCATTGTAAACTTACACGCAAGTTCTGGTAACTCAGAATCACTATTTTCAACAACTAAATGATCCGCGATGATGTTTTCAACTCAATCTAATACTGGATTTTGAGACTTTTAACAGAAATGTGGCCTACTTCAAATGTGACATTTCTGATTGAAACAGGACATTTAATGAGTAAAAATTGTAGGATGGGACTTAATGTAATTCATAGGGAATTGACTGGATGGATGGTAAGAGGAAGCGATCTCTATATGACAGGTTGTTTGAGAGGAATGTCTGTAAAATAAGAAGAGGCTCCATATATTATTGCATTTTCATGACAGATTACAAAGACAAAAAATATTCAAATGTATTTAGTCATTCTTTTATAGGGTCAATTTAGTTACACTATCATTAAAATATTAAATCACATTCACATTGCGTTGTTGATATTCTGCTATTTTATTTATGATGGGATGTGAAAGACATATTTCCTCTGTTTTGGTGATGAGCTGTAGGACAGGAGGCTGTTCCTTCAGAGTGTTGGGATGTTTGCCATCACTGCACCTGTTGTTTGTGATGTTGTATCTAGGTGATTTGTATGTTATATGTTGGGGGCTATTAGACTGTGGTGCTATGGGAATGGAAAACCTGAAGCTTCAGGATCTACAGAGAGTAGATTTCTGTGAAGATACTCTGGAGCAGCTTAAATTCGGAGTTAAACCAAAGTCCCTTTAAGGCAGGTTTTCCCAAACTGGGGTTTGTGAGGGAACTGCAGGGGTTTGTGAGTTGATGATGTTGATGATGTTGACTTCCATATGGAAAGTCAATGGCTACCGGCAACTGTTTTGTTACCAACATTCTTTAAAATATCTCCTTTTGTGTTCAACAGAAGAAAGAAACTCATACAGGTTTGGAACAACACAAGAGTGACTAGATGATGACAGAATTTTCATTTTTGGGTGAACTGTCCCTTTAAGCCAAGTCAGTTCACTTGGTGACCATCTTGGAATTTTTTATTTTTTTTCAGTTGCTATATTGAGCGATATAATTTCATATTTTACAAGTACAAATTTTACAAGAAATTTTTATGTAACAGAGCACTTCTTCCTTTTCTATTGCTATTCTAATAATGTGCATATGATTTGTCATGGCTCGTAATCCAAATCTTATGTTCAATGCATTATAATGCAACTTTAATCAGCAGCACAGTCATACAAAACCTCACATACCAAGCTAAATGTTGCTCAGACACTCCCCAAGGAAACTTTGTGATGTCTGTTTGTATGAAGATAGCTAATATTTTCTCTGAAGATTGTGGTAATTGTGATAATTGAGGGGAAGTCGTGGGCTAATGGTTAGAGAGTCGGTCTCGTAACCCAAAGGTTGCGGGTTCGAGTCTCGTACCGGCAGGGATTGTGGGTGGGGGGAGTACAGCGCTCTCTCCCACCTTCAATACCACGACTGAGGGGCCCTTGAGCAAGGCACCGAACCCCCAACTGCTCCCCGGGCGCCGCAGCAAAAAAATGGCTGCCCACTGCTCCTGGTGTGTGTTCACGGTGTGTGTGTTCACTGCTGTGTGTGATGGGTTAAATGCAGAGCACTAATTCCGAGTATGGGTCACCATACTTGGCCACATGTCACGTCACTTTCATAATGGAGGCAGCTGGGGGATAAACACTCTGATGAACCCGTACTGAAGGTTTACACTCATCCACAGTGGACACGTTGTTGTTTTTTTTCAGCTGGATGTTGAATAACATTACGTAACCTGTTCTGACGTGGCGGCACTGTAAGAGGCCGCAGCATGCTGACTTGGTTTTCTCTCTTGTCATTGCAGATCTCGTCATTAGAGTGGCAAAGGATAAATTCGGAGCCATACAATCCGAGTACCAGAAGGTAAGTGCATGTAACTGTGCCTACCTGAACCTCCATGCTATTACGTGCTCCGCCACCGCAGTTAAGTTGAAGGGACATTGTCTCAGTGCATCTATTATGAAACAATATTTTAATTGCATTTGAAAGCCAAGGAGAGAGCCTTGCCCTATTATTGCGTTTATTCTGGAAGAGCTGTTAATTGCTTTTGGCATTATAGCATGTAGTAAACAGAGGAAGAAACTATTTGTTGCTTTTTAGTAACAGAGTTTAATTAAACAACAGCTCTTGCTTTGAAGTTTTAGCATCTTACTCCTGGGAACAAACAAACATATGGGGCAAAACTTAATGAATCAGTTTCACCGACATTTCTTGTGATGGTGAGAGGAAATGTGAGTTCAGAGATGCACAGCCACCTCAATTTATCATTATTATATATAGTTCTCAGCAAACAGCCCTATATTATATTATATTATATTATTGAAAGAAATTAATACTTTTATTGAGCAAGGGCACATTATATGATCAAAAGTGACATTTAAAACTTTTACATAAAAAAAGTTTTTTTCCAAAAAAAAATGCTCTGTTCATCCAGCAGCACTACTGTTCTCAAATGTAATAATAGTAAGACATGTTTCTTGAGCACCAAATCTGCATGTTAGAATGAAAATTCAGCTTTGCCATCACATGAATAAATTACATCTTCAACTATATTAAAATAGAAAACAGTTATTTTAATATTTCACAATATTAATGTTTTACTCTATTTTTTATTTTAAAAAAGACAGCATTGGTGAATATAAGAGACTTCTCACAATTGCCAACTACAAACTATATATGCAATACATATAGATTAAATTTATTTTTGTATATTTTTATATTAAAGGATCATCACTTAATTTAGTAATTTAAGCTTAATTTAAATGAGAATTTAATACAATTTCACAAGGCTGAATAACGATAATTACAAAATGGCCAAATATCAGTCTGTAATCATATTCACTCATTCTTTTCAGTTTTATTATGCTCTGCTCTTGTAACACTTAAGAATATGGAGAGATGGATATGGATGTGACTGTCGGCCAAATCCATGATTCACTCGATCTCTGGGTCTGTTAAGATGGGTCTGGTTCCCATTACAGATGGGAGTGTTCTTTCTAGTTCTTAAGTGATTTTATTTGCCATTTGTTTGACTGTTTATTTGATTTTGCTTACCATCTGTTCTGTTTTGTTTTGTTTTGTTTTTTTTTGCTGATCTGCATGCACATCATCATCTGGCGCCTCCCAGCCAGAAAACATTGTTCTGACGCTACAGGTAATGTGTGTGTCCTGCTAGCAGTGTCAAGGGCCAAACCAGACCCAAGTCTCACCACCCTCATTCCTTAGTTACACCTAACCCTTACAAAGCCCAGCCCTGCACTCATTCTGTTCACATGTCTGTTTCAGTCTAATCTTGACCGTGGTTGTGTCATCCATGTGGAACGCTTAGAAACATTAGACTGATTTAAAAATGGCAGTATATTTCAAATTAATAGATTTTTTAACATACTGAAATTATTACACTTTTTTGCCACTTTCACACAGCAGCAGAATACGGTTGTCAGTCCTGTATTTGAGTCCTTAATATGGTTACGTTCATTCACAGTACGGTTATTTTCAGGCGTGACAACCGCATTCTGTAACCGAACTCACACCCGCAAATTTTCAGGACTCACAACTGCATTCTCTGAAAACACGCACTGTGTGAAATGCAACCGGTTTGGACAACTAGTTGTCTGTCTCGTCATTCAGTGCGAGAGAGAGCCGCTCTGCTGCTCAAACACGTGTCTACTGTGTGTTGCAGGTTTTCATGTGGTTTCGGTAACTTACAGAGATGCAGATATGAGCTGTGTGTCATCTAAAGGTTTTAGATTCAGTCACTGTTCTTCTCCACCGGTGCTGAAGTTGACTGGATCTAAACCTTCAGATGACACACAGCTCATATCTGCGTCTCTGTAAGTTACCGAAACCACACAGACGGTAGACACGCATTTGTGCATCGCAGAGCAGCTCTCTTGCACTATATGAAATGACGGACAACTATTGCGCGGGTTTTCGAGAATACTGTTGTGAGTCCTGAAATTTCCGGGTGTGTGTTCGGTTATAGAATGAGGTTGTCACTCCCGTAAATAACCGTACTGTGTGTGAATGTAACCGTATTAAGGACTGAAATCCAGGACTGATAACCGTAATCTGCTGCTGTGTGAACGTGGTCACAGACGGTATTTGTGACGCTACTGTAAGTTTCTGTGTGAACGGGACATTTCGAGACTCTCACCTGTAAGTAAATGCGGTTGTCAATCCCAAAAACTGACAGTGTGAACGTAGCCTTTCAGGGCTTTTGCTATTTATTAATAGCAAAAAGAAAGAAAGAAAAAAATAATTAGAGAGCTTTAATATTTCTGTTGTTTCTCCTAGACAGCAATGCGATTACATGGAGAGGTTTAGGTTTGCTGCTTCTCAGATATTTCTCCTGAGAAAATGACCCTAGTAATCTTACATTGTCCTGTATTTTTACGTTTATTACTTTTATTACTGCGAGTATGTTCATTTAACTTTTTTCTTGTCCATCCTATATTAAAATCGCAGGTATTACATTTCACTTTCATCTCTGTAATTGGTAAGATGATCACAGATACACAAATTTCCTCATCTTAAGCTGTCTGTAATTTTTAGCTCAGCCATGACCCAGTAAGAGGAGTGTGACTACACTAACAGGGATGATGTCATCTCTAGATGAACCCGTCTAAAGCTTTAATATGCTGATACGAGAGAAGCACATCATCAGATGGTCAGTGAGAGGGAATGACCGTTCATAGTAGAATGGTCAATAACCTCATGACCTAAGTGTTATGCTATAGCCTATGTGTGAAGTCCCCCATGATAGTCTTAGCTGCTAAGCTTTTGTGTCATTTCCAAAAATACTCAGTTCTTACTCACAGAGGCGTGAGGGGAAATGAGCTTTTAAAACCACCTTTAGAGAATTTTAAGTATGGAAAGGCTCAACCCTTGAGGAGAAGCGAGGGTATTTGGTGACAGACAAAGCCTCTGGTTTATTCAGCAGATTAAGCTTATCCACAGCCCAGCTCATTCAGAATTGTCCATAATGCCACGGGACGTGTGCAAATGGATTCAGTGGCATCATATGGAAAAAGTGTTTAACATTATTCCATCATGTTACATACGACATGGAAATTTTGCAGAGCATGGTTTAATTTCCCTCACTTCAAAAGCCCTCTAATGGAAGGATTTGGAGACAAGAATATTTGCTTTACTTGAAAAAGAGTGCAAAAGCTTCCATGTATTGTTGCATTTTTAGAAAAAAATATAAACTGTGAAAATATAGTAGCTCATTTAAAAATACCTTAGTGTTACTTTTTTTTTTTTTTATGGTTGG